TTATAATATAAAACAGATATTTTGCTTTCATTATATCCTAGTTCATGAATTAAACACTAAACTAGACTATATTTTCAAAGGTGTTTTTCTAAGCTGATGAATTCTACATGTATTATAGTGGGATTAAGAATACCACTGAGGTAATTGGTGGAAATTTTCACATCAACATAGAAGGTGAGCAGGTGTCAAAGCTTTCAAAATTTGAAGAATTAGTTCGAGAAAGGATCAGCAAGTATGTAATTAGAGTCAACATGTCCTGTTTAGCTGACGTAAATGGTTAGTTTTCTCACTTTGAATAGCAAGATCTTACTTACTGAAATATCCTTAAATTTAATCAGCCCACATAAAGGCAAATAGAAAAGAAGAAAATTAAAAAAAATATTGAAAATATACTACAAACACAGCAATCTGAATGTGAAATTCAAAAACTAAGTTCAGTTTGTACCTTTACTGATTCATAATGGATTCAAAACAAAGATCTAGAGGAGTCCATGACAACCTGATGGCAGCACTAGAGCTGTTTTCATCTTTCAAAGATTGCCACAATAAAATTTCCTTCTCATATGTACTTATTGTTACATAACCTGGATGCTCCTTCCATAGAGAAAAGGAATGTTTCTACCCCTTGAGCCTGGCAGAGGTTTGACTATAGCAGAAGTGACACTGCAAATTCCAAAGCTAGTTTGTAAGAAGTTCTACCTATTTGTCTTGGGAAGCTTGTTTTCTGAACCCACTATCTCACTGTGTTAGCAAGCCACACAAACAACCTCTAAGAGGCTCGTGCCACAGACCTCACTGGGCCCAAGTAGCCAGAATCAGCTCCTTAACCATGATAAGAGGTCATCAAGTCTCCAAAATACTTGTCAGCATCCTGAAAGTGGTGCCCACCTCTCAGTTAGGGGGGCTATGATGGAGCAAAGATATTCCTTCAACTCCTGCCCTAACTTGCAGCTTTATGAAAACATTAAATGATTATATTTTGAAGCATTAAGGTCTGGTTGATAACTATGCTGCAACTGATAATCACAGTTATGTGTCTAGTTTAACAAGTAAACACACTGTTTTTTCCTATATGGCAATAAAAAATACTCCTTAATGCATAAATCTTCACCATATCTATTTAAATGTGTAAAGCTAAAATTTTCTTTGTAAAATTCAAATTCTTTTTGTTTCACCGGATGTTAAGGAAAGACTTACTCTGTTAAAAATGATGATGAAGTATGAAAATTGATCATTCCGGAATTTAGGATGACACTGAATTCAAAAAACATGATTTTAAAGGCTAATCAGGATACTTGTTTGTGAAACTGTTTATTGATAGTGGCTTGAAAACCTCTTTTTCAGGGTAGGGGTGTACCAGGGATTGAACTCAGGAACACTCAAACACTGATCCACATCTCCAGCCCTATTTTGTATTTTATTTAGAGACAGGGTCTCAATGAGTTGCTTAGAGCTTCCCTGTTGCTGAGTCTGGCTTTGAACTCATGATTTTCCTGCCTCAGCCTCCCGAGATGCTGGAATTAAAGGTATGCACCACCATGCCCATGGAAACCTCTTTTTTTAATCCACATAAGTTCACCATGTCCAGGATCCTTTATGCTTCTAGTTTAAACACTATTTTCCAAGATATTCAGGGCATAAGATATTTCTTCTTCTTCTTCTTCTTCTTCTTCTTCTTCTTTTAGTTGTAGATTGTCATAATGTCTTTATTTTTATTTTATTTTATTTTATTTTTTGTGGTACTGATATCGAACCCAGGGCCTCACACGTGTGAGGCAAGCATTCTACAACTGAGCTACAACCCCAGCCCCAGAAGGAATTTCTTTACTGGGCACCATCATCACTTTGATGTTAGAAATGTTAATTCTTGCTATTGGAATGGCTTCGTCAACTAAAGACTGAATAGTTTTTGTCATTGACTAGTTATTTGTCAATTGAAGTAATATTTATTATTGGCTAGCTCTTCCTTGGGTACTGATACACAATATGAATATTAAAGTGCAACAATAGAGAGGATAAATTAAAGGCATTTAGTGTCCACTCTACAAAAGGAAGCTCCCACATAACTCAGCTGCAATGTGGGGAAAAGGGTACACTTGTACATTGCTGGTGGGATTGCAAATTGGTGCAGCCAATTTGGAAAGCAGTATGGAGATTTCTTGGAAAGCTGGGAATGGAGCCACCATTTGACCCAGCTATTCCCCTTCTCGGTCTATTCCCTAAAGACCTAAAAAGAGCATGCTACAGGGACACTGCTACATCGATGTTCATAGCACCACAATTCACAATAGCTAGACTGTGGAACCAACCTAGATGCCCTTCAATGGATGAATGGATAAAAAAAATGTGGCATTTATACACAATGGAGTATTACTCTGCATTAAAAAATGACAAAATCATAGAATTTACAGGGAAATGGATGGCATTAGAGCAGATTATGCTAAGTGAAGCTAGCCAATCCCTAAAAAACAAATGCCAAATGTCTTCTTTGATATAAGGAGAGTAACTAAGAACAGAGTAGGGTCGAAGAGCATGAGAAGAAGATTAACATTAAACAGGGATGAGAGGTGGGAGGGAAAGGGAGAGAGAAGGGAAAGTGCATGGAAATGGAAGGAGACCCTCAGAGTTATACAAAAGTACATACAAGAGGAAGTGAGGGGAAGGGGAAAAATAATATAAGGGGGACAAACGAATGTCAGTAGAGGGGGCAGAGAGAGAAGAGGGGAGGGGAGGGGAGGGGAGGGGAGGGGAGGGGGGATAGTAGAGGATAGGAAAGGCAGCAGAATACAACAGACACTAGTATGGCAATATGTAAATCAATGGATGTGTAACTGATGTGATTCTGCAATCTGTATATGGGGTAAAAATGGGAGCTCATAACCCACTTGAATCAAATTGTGAAATATGATATATCAAGAACTATGTAATGTTTTGAACAGCCAACAATAAAAAATTAAAAACAAAAAAAGAATCAGAATAAGTCTATTATCTAGTTTAGAGACAGGACTCAAATGTATATTAATTTTATTTAGTCTTCTCAAATCTGATTTAAATTATATATTATTTGTATATGCATACATACTGTATATATGTCCAATATACATATTATATTGGACATATATACAGTATGTCCAATATACATATTATATGTATATTGGACATATAATGTATGTTGGACATATATACAGTATATATGCATATATTTAGTTATTAGCCATATGATCATGGGAAGTTACATAAACTCTACTTTCAAGAACTCATCTTTAAAATGAACTTAATGGTGGGCAAATCTGCAAAAGATCCTAGTATATATTCAACTAGTTAATATTTGTGCAGAGTTTAGCACATTTAATGTCAAACTCAATATCTGTATCACTGTTATTCATTATTATCATTTATATTATTATCTCAAATCCCATAAGGATGAGAAAATGCTCTGTCAGTAATCTGGAATAGAGAGGAAAGAAAGCTCCATGACACTTTATAAAATTAATTCAGTATATTCCATTTCTCATGCAGCAACATCAATCCTTCTTTGCTTTCTTCAGTGCACTAAGTACTGTTAAGCAGTCATCTGACTGATTCACTGAATTTAATTATTGTGATTATACTACATCCTCTTTCTTGGGGTCTCACTGGTACACTAGCTACATTAATTACCTCAGAAACATAAATTAATACTAAAATATATTTTTTACCATTTCCATTAAGGCACACAAAATTTAACATTTATTATCCTTAATAATTGTTTTCTTACTTAGATTCAACAAAATAAATCACGATGTATAAATTTAGGTAATATGCATGCATTTGTTCAGACAAGTTCTGATTAGCATTTTTGTCTTCAAAATTGCTTCAGCTAGCTGAAATTTTTGCCTTACATTGTGATGATGTTTTCTCCAAGTTTTTAAATTTTTGTCAAGTCAACTTCACCAGTGATCACTTATGCTATGAGTCAAGCCTACAGATATAACATGGGACAAGGACTTGTGAATTGAATAAAGTGCTATAATGTTTATTGTACATTTCTCCTGTTCTATTCTTCAAAATCTCAAATACAAAGAGGATACCAAAAACTTCAGCTTTTTTAAATGTTGAGAAAAAAATTCCCGATGTAAATTTTCACATTGGGAATTATGTTGCAAAGCCACAGAGCTGAATATTTCCCACTACAGTAGCAAAAGCATTAGTCAAATAGTTGATTGCCAGGAATTTCAATTTTCTGAAACAGAATAAGAATATATATATATATATATATATATATATATATATATATATACATATATGCATATAATATATATACATATATATTCCAACTTTAGAGCAGAATTGCTATTCTAGTCTCAACATGGTATCTGTTTGTCTTATAATTCATTTTTTTCTCATATATGTACATTTATCATCTGTGGTCTGAATTCCAAATTGACTGAAATTCATAGCTCCCTTAGCATTTTTTTAAATTCAGAATTGAGTGCAGAAAATATGCATTCAGAATTTACTTTTTTGCTTTCTTAAATTATATCTTTAAGTGGTAGATACTTGCATTCAGAATTTCTCATCTCTTACTTGAAATGCTCAAGCATAATCTCCAACAACATTTCTGAACTCTTATAAGCTAGAAGGGCCTCCTGTTGGCCTGTGTCCTCTGATTTAGGACTGCACATTTAAATGTGAATTTAAGGATATGCTGGAGTTGCTTCTTGGAATTTCCCAGAATATGTTGGCAACTGAGCTCTGCTGTGATTTATGCACAGAAAAAATAAAACTATCAATGTCAGAGGGCTTGCTGCGCCATGATATAGTTTCTACCTTGTAAATGGTGTAATTATGCATTGTGACAAAAATTTACCCATACTGTCTGAAAATAGTTTTAGACATAAATATTTTAAATATTTGTCTATTTTGCTAATATCAATCAATATGTGTGAAAAATGTTTCAGTAGCATCCCACTGCATTTAGAGAGATGCAAATGAAGGGAAATGAGTAAGAGTTTGTTTACCGGAGTTCTCAGTTCAGGTATGGCAGCTTGATAGGTGAGTGGTCGGCAATCTCGAGTGTTTGGCACAAGGACACAAGGAAGAAACATGGGACCTAAGTCATCTCCATCCAGGATATCCACAGTGAGTGTGGTGGTAGTGGTCCGCCTTTCATTCAGATTTTGTGCACGGTCCTGTGAGAGGGAAAATAAACAACTGAATAGCTTAAAAATATTGGGAATAATGTGACTTGTTAAATTTCCTTTTCCTTTTGCTTATATGATTGATAAGCAACTTGTTTAAACCAACAGTTTGAAGTGGTGAAGTTGAGATGTAAACTGAAATCCAGTTATCTTCAAATCAACTTTCTCCAAAAGCTTACTATAGTAGCTAAACTTTCATAGGTCCGGCCTTTTCACAGCATTAGGAGGGTAATAATATAATATTGTGATGAGTTCATTGTGTCCTTGGGAATTTGCTTCATTGAGTCCCTTTTGAAAATAAAAAGAAATCTCATTTACAGCTTTATAATTTACTGGGAAAGCTGATCTGGAAATGAAAGGAAACTTTCCATTATCCAAGTTGAATAAGAAGGAAGAAGGAAGGATGTAATCATCAGGATCCATAGGTGTGGAGTGTGGTTACTTTTAAATACTTTAAAGAATTTTGAAGCAGTTTTAGATTTAGGAAAATATTGATAAGATAGTATAAAGAGTTCCCATGATGTGCAAGCTGGCTCATGTCTGTAATCTCAGCAACTCAGCAATTTGGGAGGCTGAGGCAGTAGTTCAAAGCCAGCCTCAGCAATGGCAAGGTGCTAAGCAACTCAGTGAGAACCTGTCTCCATATAAAATACAAAATAGATCTGGAGATGTTGCTCAGTGAGTAGTTAAGTGCCCCTGAGTTCAATCCCTGGTACCAACACACACACACACACACACACACACACACACACACACGAGTTCCCATGTACTGCAAGCCCAGTTTTCCCTATTCTTAATACTTTGCATTAATATGGTACATATGTAACAATCAAAGAGACTATAGTGATACTGACCAAAATAACCTGAGAGTTTCCCTCAAGCAGGCCAAACTTCATAAGGACTTCTTCCTTTCTCTAGGCCCCTTATCTCCAACCACCCAAGTCCTGACAGAATCTACATAAGCCTTGGGCTCCTTTCTCCCTCTCCTTAGAGTATTCACCTTGGATACCTTATGATTGTAAATTTCTTTGCTCCTTTGAGATTAAAAAAAAAAAAACTTTTATAAACTTCTTGTCAGTTTTACAACCCAGACCTGTCTTTTTCAATGACCTGGGAGTCTTCCCTTTGGAATGTAATAGTCAAGAAAGATAGGGCTCCTTCCTACTGAGTCTCTGTGGGAAGTTGGGTGCCTAACTTTGAAGGAGGCTTGCTCCAAGTTCCAAAACTTATGCCCTGCCATAAACATAAGAGAATTTACTTTTCCTTTGAAAAGGCCAAGTAGTAAATATTGATGAACTATGGTTCTCTACCTTCTCTCGCATCCTCTAACAAAAACTCAATTCGGCTCCTAATTACTCACCAGCCCTTCCTCTGGTTGCTCTTTCTTATCAAGATAGCCCAGAACAGAGTATCCCTTACCTATTTAATTTGTCCAGTGCAATTTTTCTTTGATCATACATTGTTAATAACTGACATGTGATTTTTTTTAGTGTCTATTAATTGTTTCTGCTCCAATATTCCAACTAGGATAACTTTTACATTTAGTCATAATGTCTCTTTAGGTTCCTTTTGGCATTGAGAATTTCTCAGACTTCTTATTTTTTAACAATTTTGATTATGTTTGGGAAGTACATAGAGGCAGTGGTGGTATAATATTGAGGATGTATCAAATGCTACTGAATTGTTCACTTCAATTGGTTAATGTATCTTATGTTAATTTACCTCAATTAAGTTTCAAAAGTTGATTAGACTGACTTATTTTACATTGCTTCAAAATCATCTTTCTATGTGACAGTTATCAGATATTAATATAAGCCTACTTTCTTAACTTTAGAAATACTACATTCCAGTCATCTTTCTCAACATGGTTGATCCAGAAGAGTTTTAGAGAAGTGATTGAAGGCAAATCAGAGAAAGCAAAAATCTCTATTGGAGGAATTTTACAAGTGCTATCATACTGGAAAGTAGTAACCTTCTGATTCTAGTATTCTTTTATGTTTTTATTTTATTTTTATTTATTTATTTTTAGTTGTAGATGGACAGAATGCCTTTACTTTATTTATTTTTATGTGGTGCTGAGGATTGAACCCAGTGCCTCATGCATGCTAGGCAAGTGCTCTACCACTGAGCTACAGTCACAGCCTTCTTTTATGTTTTGATCAATTATAAGATGGATTATGATCAAATCACAGCAAAAATAAATGTTTACATTTTCAAAATGTTTAGATGCATTCAAACCACAGGGTTGATAAAATGATTGTTTTAAAAACAAGTCATTTGAGATTCAACAGAAAAAATCCTCTGAGCTTTATCTTGGGGAGCAATAGTGCCATGAATCCCCTCTCCCTGGGTTCCTATGGTCATAAAGAAAAATAGAGAGAAGATAATTCCTATCTACATAAACTAATATCACAATGATTTTTTTCATTTGTATGTTCCCCTGGAATCCCACTTGTTCTTCCCAGTCCATTATGCTACATACATAACTCTGCTTTATTAGCTGTTTTGAAGAGCCATTTCATTTGTTTGCTATCAGCAACTGGTCTGTTGAAAGTATAGCAAAAATAGCTATAATGAAGTAAATACTATTCTAAATTGGGAATGGTACAAATAAAATATAATTATTGGCATAAACATCTGATATGATGTTCATTGCTTGTGTTTTTACTCATTGCAATGTATCAATGCAATGTATGTAAAAGCTACCAAGAAATTTCCTTCTGTCCATGTTTTCATGTTCCCTTTTCATTTCTCATTCTCTTTCCTTTGTTAAAAAAATCTCTTAAAATAATATTTTATTAACTTAGAAAAGTGATTGTAATTGGTCAGCAAGGATATCTCTTTATAACTTTTTTCACAGTTCAAGTGCTGTATGAAATAAATTATGTTCCCCCCAAATTCATATAATGTAGCTTTAATCCCCAGTGCAGTTATATAAGTAGATTATTTAAGGTTAAGTACTATCATAAGTATGGGTCCCTTATATGATAGAAGTAGTATGATAATAAGAGCTCCACCACCCTGCACCATGGGAGCACAGGAAAAGGAATGAGGCACACTGAAAGAAGATGGCCATCTACCAGCCAAGAAGACAGTTCTCCCCAGAAACAAATCCTACCAGACTTTGTCTGTGGTTTCCGGACTCCAAACTGGTGAGAAGATTTCTGTTGAATAAGACAACCAGTCTATGGTATTTTGTTATGGCAAAACAAGCAGACTAATATAACTACTTAATGTAGATTTTCTGAAAATGTGCTGTTATTTCCTATATTATTTATATATTTCCTAACACTGAACATTTATTAACACAAAAGCCTTAATTACCTTCCTTAAGAATGAGTCACTATGTCTTTTAAAGTTATTACTTTAGATATATGTAAGGAATTGGAGGTTATACAAATAATAATCCAGCAGGAAAGCTGACATATGGGATTTCAAAAGTATAACCATATCTTCAATACAAAATCGAGAAAACAATGAGGACTGTTCAGTGGAGTGTAGGATTTGACAGAACTGGAGCATTCTGTCATTGTCTCACAGAGAGGGATGTTGTACTGAATGCTTAGCATCTTCATGCAAGTCTTTCAATATTCTAGCTCCATATGATGGAAATACAATGCACAACTTTTCAAAAGCATACTGCAATATAAGGACTCACATATCAAAGATACCACATTGCTCTTGAATAAATTGTTTAATGAATAGGTTGAAAGTTTCATCAATACATTACATGGAAGAACTTATGTTTTATAAAACAGGGTTCATGCCTAGTAACACTTAAATAAAAGTCACTATTTTTATAAATGGCTCAGATATACCTTATTGTTCTAACACTCTCTTTTTAAAACATAATTTTATAAAATTAGAAATATTTAAATTGTAATAATATTAAAGCAAAGAAACACCTTTAATTTTATTTTTTTTTATTTTTTATTTTTTGAAACACCTTTAATTTTAGATGGTGAGACTTTAAGTCCTCCTTCTCAAATGAAAGTGTTTCTTATAAAACAGTTTAATTTCTAATTATTCCTTGATCAAACTTGGGACAAATGCCAGTTTATAATGTTTGTTTGTTTGGTTTTGGCCTGTTCTATGTTTACATTAAGTAAAATTTGGTTGTGGTAAATGGGGCCAAGAAAGATTTGGACTCTAACAATATTTAAAATTATATGAAATCTGAAGTCTGGTTTTAAAATGACTTTGGGACAGACATGCTTATTTTCTGGTTTATTTTTGAGGAAATATCACAGAATCCTTGGAAGAGATTTCTAGAATTTAAATATGCAGTATTAGTTTGTAGTTTAACAAATGGCTAGCAGCACCTAACAGACTCATTCATAGATACATATATTAAATACTATTTCATTACCTTATCAGGTATTTGCAGTAGAGAAAGAAAAAAAAATATTCAACATAATTAGAGTTGCCTTGAGTATTTTGACCCTAAGTCTGTTACCTAAGACCACAGAGCTATTTGTCTTGCTTCTGCTCACTGGTGATAGATGCAATATTACTGACTGAAAATTTAAAAATTAATCCTGGTAACTTCATTCTGTTTCTTTATTTAAAAAAAGAGAATAATAGCAACCAAATTATCTTAGTCTATTTAATTTTAGAAGTGGGCCTTTTTTATTGAAGGTTTTTTTGCTTATTTGTTTGAGGTGTTTACCCGATTTTTCTTCATTTTTTCTGCATGCCTGTACATGCAATAGTATGTTTTACAGACTCATGTGCTCATGTATCTTTATTATTCTAATAATCTATAAATATTTGTTCCGTAAGCCATAAATCACCATCCACTCATTTTACTTCCATACTTTAGAAAGAAACTGGTAGAGTTAAAAACAATGGTTTAAAATTAGTACTTACTCCAAATTGATAGGGAGCAGAAGTGAGGGAAGGTCAGGGTGAGAGTATTTTGAAAAGATTTTTACATAGGTTGAAATCTGAAAGTACGATTTTTTTGTGTGTGTATCCAATAAAAATGTAGATATTTTTACATACACATATACTTCTGACTTCCATCCTCTGAATTTTTTAGTGGAGCTTCTGAGGCAGAATCCAGGCATCTACATACTGAATATGGCTCCACGTTGATATTGATGTGGTTGTTTGGTAAATCATACTTTGGGAAGTATTTCAGTTTGGGCTAAAAAGCAAATTATTGGCATGCAGCTCCTACATTAGAGGGAGATTTAGACGAGAAGGAATAGTGAGTGGAAGCCAACCCTCCAACTCCATTCCATCACTTTCCTCGAGTTGAATCATATAATATATAAATTCCACCAAGGGCAGCGCTGCCCTGTTGAGAAAGTTTATCATGCCAAGGACTCTAGGAGCATTGGATGCATTGTTTACTTCATAAGTTCATAGAAAAAGATAGGAAATTAAATACTCACATTAGCTTGGATGATGACGAAGTATCGAGTCTTGTCTTCATAATTGAGTCTCTTCCTTAACACTACATTTCCAGTCAACATAAGGGGAATTTCAAAGGTGTCATTGGATGTCTGCAAATATTAAGCACACAAGGTTCAGATCAGTTGAATATATGATGAAACAAGATAGTTTTATATTGTGGATTAGTCCTCTTGAAAGGTAGATGGTTTTCTTATTATCTGAGAATTAAATGTGAGTATAAACTTTATACTGAATATTCTTATAATTTCTCAAAATATTTTATTTTGATCAAAAAGTTTCACCAGAGATAATGATAACTGTAATGCAGTACACTTGTCATAGTTTTTCATATATTATTAAGGTTATTCATCCATGGCTCTGTAATAGTCCTGAGTCAAACTCCAGAAACCTGAAAATCTTCCCTGTTATCTTTTGACCTGTTGTTTTAACATCAAAGAGTTCAGATTTTGCAGTTTGTTATTTCTATTTAATTTCACTTTTTTTACATTTGTGCAAATGTCATATTCCAAGCATTTTCTGACACTAAATACAATATGATCATGTAACTTATAATTTAAAGTTTATTTTTTTTCAAGGCTCATAATTTAACACATTAGTTAAGCTCCCTAACCCCATTGCTTCCTGGTAACATGCAAATTATAAGGACAATCTTTAAGGTGCCTTCCAGATAACATGCAGGTCATAAGGACAATCTTTGAAGTGCCTCCTCTTACAAGAAGCCCTCAGTTTAAGTGTATTCACTCCTTAAGAGGACAATTTACAAGATTAGTGTCTTCCCATAGACCTTAAATGACTCCTGTACTTTATTCTCATTGTGAAAAATGATAAAATAATGTTTGCAAATTCTATTCTGAAATCTTCTTTCTTCCAATTTCAATTAAGTCTTTGATATGATGTTGAAATTTTTTTCATACAAAACATATTTTTTGTGTATTTTCTATTTCCCTTCACGGATTCTTCAGGAGCCTCAGTCCATGACACAGAGATACTTACCTTTCTATCTCTATCAAAACAACTTGAGGGATATTTTCAATATTTTGTTGTTGTTCTTAACAGTTTTCATTAAAAATATGAAGAACTATTATAAACAACTATGTTAAGGATAATAACAAGTAAAGTTATTGTTAATAACAAGTAATGTTATTGCTCTCTGAGAATTTTTGATCTTATTTCTTATTAGCTAAATCTATATTTTACATAAATCTGATATTTTCATGTTTTAATTGTTTCATAAGTACTTTGAAAAATAAAGGGGCAGTATGCGCTTCATCATCAGCGCTACTTTGTAAATGTTGGCAAGCCTATGTACTAAAATTAAATAATTTCTTGATTAAACAAGTATTTTTGAGTAGCCATTCTTTCTCTAAAACTTATAGATTAATAATTAAATAAATCAATAGAAGAAAATGTACAAAAAAGAGAAGCATAATGTAGATAAAAGTTTAGGAGTTGGGCAAGCATAATGTAGATAAAGATTTAGGAGCTGGGTATGGTGGCACACGCATATGATCCCAGAAGCTCAGGATGCTGAGGCAGGGGGGTCTAAAGTTCAAAGTCAGCCTCAGCAAAAGTGAGGCACTAAGCAACTTAGTGAGACCCTATTTTTAAATAAAACACAAAAAAGGGCTGGGGATGTTACTTAGTGGTCAAGTGCCCCTGAGGTCAATCCCTGGTACTGAAAAAAAAAAAACAACAAAAGATTTAGAAAACTTTCTCTAGTAAAATGAATATTGGTTAAGATCAACTCTAATTAAATGCCCTATTTTAGTGGAATTCCAAAACTTAACTTAAGAAGTAAAAATAAAGCAAGATTTTATAGAAAAATCATTGTTTGTTTGCTTTATTGTTAATTATTATAGTATAGGGTCACGGGGAAATGGGACAGTTCACTCATAATTTATAATATATAACATATATATATATATATATTGTTCAAATATATCTCTGTTCCCCCTTATTCAGAAATTCTCAGTAGTCTACATTTCTATCAGACTTACTGCATGATTCTGATGCAGACAGTTAAGATTTTACTTTGAAAAAGTGGAGTAGGAATGTGTCTGCATTTTGCCTTTCTGCTATTTATGGCTCTTTCCTTTCATAATTAGAGCTTTGATCCATAATGAAGAAGAGCATGGGAATAGCAATATCCATTTGCTTCAATGATTTGTGAGGCAAAGCCATTGCCCTCTTTCTGATAGTTCTGGACATTCTGTAAGACACAAACTTGGCACCCTTTTCTTTAGGTGATGGAAATTTAAATGTTGACCTCTACCTACACCATCTTAACAAAAGAAATCCAATTATGGCTCAATCTTTTGACATCCACTGGCTCTAAACACCTGGCCTCCATTAAGAAAGGTCCACTCACAATTTCCAAGTGGTTCAGTGACCTGACAACTGTCAGAGAAGGGGCAATCCTCCATTTAGTAAAGTGAGGGTATGAGACAGGTTGAGCAGTTTTATCACTATCCAAAGGACAGAAATTAAGGTAGAAGGCAGGTGTAACTTCCACACCACACACTTATGCACCCACAAAGGAGGGAGATAGAGGGAATATTGACACTGTTTCCCACAAGATGATTTAATTCTCCCATAACCTTCTTTATTAATATGTGTGAAGGTGAGTTAGTAATAGTTTAGATAAAAAGTCATTTCTCTGAGGGTCCTGCTAGCAGTTATTATGCCCTTAGTTAGAGATATGTTCACTTTGAGTAAGACTAATTTACCCTTAACTTATAATAAACAGCATCAATTTTGTCCTAACATTCTCTATTCGACCCTTAGCTTGTGTCTTATTAAGCCAGGCCCCCATGGCATCAGTTAACGATCAGTCTATAGATGGGTTGTCATTGATAGGCCATTTCCCCTAATCTAATTACTGACAGAAAAAACAGATCACTTAGCAAGAATACATTATCCTTGTTTACCAAACAGACTGTGATTCTTATAGGAAGCATGGACTCTGCCCTTACTACCACTCTGATAATATTTTACTATTTAATACAAAGTTATCATAAACACATATATTTGCATTTTACCTTGTTCTAACCTATTTCCCATCAAACTGTATTAAGAAGTGCTTAATTGAGTGTAGAAGTATTTATATTGCAAAGTTAAAAGGTTACAGATTTATATTGAAAAGACCTAGGTTCCAAGTTTTTTAAATAGATGACTTTTAGTTGACTTAAACAAGAAAAAACGAGAATATTAAACATGATGGGGATTTGAGACGGTCATGATATAATATACCAAGTATGATATTCTTGAAGTATACATATTTCTACTATTTAGCTGCCTAGAAACTATTTTTGCTTAGCTTGGAATATTTTAATAACATCTGAATTTTGACATTGACTTAAATACAGAAACTACTAAAGGATGGTAATTTGTTAAAAACCTTTTACATTTGAACTGTGCTTTTAGCTTCCTGACTCAGGAAATTCAAATGTATTACATGTTTGCATGTTAAAAAATAAATTGTGGTTTATTTTTTTCTCAATTCCTTCAAAGCTATAGGGAGTCAAGTGTACTATAAAAGAGGACAATTTACTCAGGAGGCCTTGATAAAAGATATTATCACCCTCTGAAAAACTGCTCTACTGCCTCCAAAACAGAAGCTGTGTATGCACACTATTACCTTGGTGCTTTTCTGATAGCAGTGGTTCCTAATAGAAAAGGTATGCTGTAGCCTTAGTTCACTGGAGACTGCGACACGGGATATGTTGTCCCTTTCCTCCTAATCACTTTAGATCAAAATACTTAAAGTGCAGAATAAAAATAATTCCATTTTTATATTTAAAAAGATTAAGAGAACTAATACAATAAAACTTCTAGAAAGTTTTTTCAATCTTGCTAACAATGGAATTTAAAATATCAGAATGATACCTTTTTTATATTTGCATTTTCTCATTTAATATATAATATAGACACAAAAATGCAAGATTTGTGAAGCATGTGATGAATTCAAAAAAGTATTTTTTTTCTTTTTTTTCTAAACAATTAAATCAGTCAATGTATTTATTATGGCGAAGGCATCAAAAACAATATTTTACAACAACTGTGATGAGCATAGTATAAATATCATAGACATTAAAGGCCCCTAATTTAAATGTTTGTAGCTCTCTTTGCTCAGCAAATATCCTGTAGTATCATGTCCTAACAAATAATCCAAATGTTTCTTAATGAACAATAGGTGACAGAATGAAAAAATGCACTTATAAAGAAGAATGTCTCTTCTTCCCTTGGATAAGAAAGAACTACAATTTTTTTTTTGTTCTGCCAAATTTTATTCAGGTTTTTAAAATTTTTTTCAAGCCCATCCATGTACTTCCTTATAAAATCCAATGTTAGCAAATAACCTTGCTAACTCAGTTGGGCAAGAATCCCCTCAGTCTAGATATCTGATCACCCTCCATATCTGATATTTGATCAGGTACCCAATTTTCCATCATCCTCCAGGTCATGTATGATCACTTCTGCTTGGTTCTAGCAAGAATCCTGATAAGTGTGTCTAACTTTCCCCCCTTCCCCTGATAATCTCTCCTAGAAAAATTTATTACATGGATCATCACCCTGTTTCTTGCCTACAAATTCCACTTGCTCATGTCTTATTTGGAGTTGAGTTCAATCTCTCTCCACTGTAAGAACTGGTTGCAGTAATTCTATATCTATTGCAATTTTCCTGAATTAAGTCTTTTTCACCATGCTTTCACATGTCATTGAGTAATTGTTTTCTTTAACAAATGTTTAAAGGATTTTATGAGACATTTACTAACATTTATTTTCTAAATAAATTGGTTAAGAAAAAATAGGTTATGCTACAGAAACAAAGGTCTTTATTTTCATTTCTTACCTAATCCACATATTTATACATCTAGCACTTCAGCAGATAGACTTTGTTTCTTGTCATTCAGAATTCAGGCTAATAGATGGCTTACCTTGTAACAGTGGTCCACTTCACCTTTTGAATATAAGCTCTGAATATATGCTCTGAGGCTTATTTTTTAAAGATGTGTTCTTTTCCCTGTCTCCTTCTCCTGCTTCCTAACCATGGGGCTGGGAACAGGATTATTTTGAGTTATCTGTGCTC